AAAAAAAAAAAAAAAAAAAAAAAGTCTACCTTAGAAATTCCAGAGACATTGTCTTTGGCGGGAATGGGTCGACTCCTCTCCGAGGTCACTCTCCTCTTCCAGCTGCCCCGTGTCTGTGCTGGGACCTGATGTGATGTCTCAATGCACGTACAGGCTGAGGGCTGACAAAACTTGGTGGGTTTGCTTGTCTGCCCTGTGCTCTGTCACTCTGCACAGTCGCTCCTGTGGTTCCAGAGGCTTTCTCATCCTGAGAGGCGACATTTCCTCATTGAGAGTCGTGGCCAAAGTTGACGTGAACTTTGGGCCTTGAACCAAAAACTTCCCACAAATGCTAAGTAAAATAAATCAGACACAGAAGGCTAAATGTCACATGGTTTCTCTCATGAGAAACACAAAATATAAAAATAGAAGAGAGGTGACAGGAAACAGGGGGGCAGGCTCTGGGGATGGAAGAGGGTCTGGGGCCGGGGCACACGGAAGGGAGGGAAAATGATTAAGAAGGAGTAGGCACATGTGAGAGGTCCCAAGATGAATGCAATTACAGCACAGCCCTGGGTCGTGGGTAAGTGGTCCAGCGACTGCTCTGCAAGATGAGCAAATCTCTCTAACAAACTTTAACTTGATAAAAGAGCGATGTCTCACAGTACAAGTAGCGTGTGGTGTCACGTCACACGGCCACACCTGAGCTGAGGTTCTTTTCTCCCTACCCCGTCTGGCCATGGGGTTGTGGAGCTCGGCACCCAGCAGCCAGAGGTCTGGGAGGAGGCCCATCTGCAGAGGAGGGAAGAGAAAGACGGGGAGGAATCCCTCACTCCATCGAGATTAGGGAGAAGTGTAGAACGCAGGAGTCGGTGCCAAATCTTACAGAAAAGCACCGCAAACAAGGCTGAAGCGCTGGGAGCCACGAATCTGTGTGGTGATGGTGTAATGTCACACTCTGCAAACTTCCCAAAGGAGGCAGAAGAGCAATGAAGGCCGGGGATTTAGCTCCGTGGTTCCGCCACCTGCCTCTCAAGCGCAAGGGCCCAAGTTTGATTCCCGGTACCAATAAGTAAATACATAAATAAACAAAACAGAGTGGTGATTCCATGAGTGACAGTGACAGTTGTCCTGCACATTAGCCTCCTCGCTCTTGTTTCCCTCACACTAGCCACAAAGGTTTTTAAAGGTAAGGGCAGGTTAATTCGTTTCTTTTTAAATATATTTTGCATTTTCTTTATTATTTTGTATTATAATACAGTGCTGTAGTCATTTTTATATGAATATTTTTGGGTTGTGGAATGAATCATCTGAGTTTCCATTATTTCTTATGGAGAAATTTGCTTTGATATACAAGTGCTTTGGATTACAAGCAAGTTTCTGGACCAAATTATGCTCACCCACCAAAGTGTTGCGGTATTGTGCTTGCTTCTGCAGCACATATACCAAAGTCTTGCGGTATTATGTATTGAGAACATGCACCAGTGAACAGATTTAGAAAACAAAGGATTTCACAAACGTCTGCCTTGTCTCCGTCTAACTTTGGTGGTGTTCAGCCTGACCTGGAGTCTTGATTTTACGAGTTGGTCTCTACAGTCACTTTGCACTGAAGGGTTCAGGTGGATCTAGAGACAGGAACAGCCAAGCAAACAAACTAATGTAGGCAGGGTCTGCAAGGAGTGAATAGCCCAGGAGGAGAGAAGGACCCACAGGGCTCCTTGACGGGAATGGCTGAGAAGGCCGGGTCAGTAGGGTGGAAAGCAGAAGGGAGGAGTCGGTGGGCGATGCCCAAGTACAAGCACCCGAAGGGACCTCGGTGGTGTCGACACACTGGGGAGCAGATGTAGCCACCCTGCCGTCGTAGATCAGATCAGTGTATTGCAAAGAAATGGATGAGTCCCAAGGCCCCAAATTCACTTCCACCGCCACTGTGAGGCAGCGAGGCAGGTGTGGTGTCTTCATTCTCTTGCTGTCCTGAGGCCCAAATTCTGTTGTCCGTTTCAAGGATATTCAAAGATATTTTCCACTGATAGGCAAGGAAAGGATTACATAAAGTATGAATATCCATGACACGCAAAATGCTCCTAAAAGTCAGTAAAGGAAATCAAAGGTCCCAATAGAAAACACTGTTAAAGTTTATGTGCAGGAATTTCGCAGAAGAATAAACACAAATTGTGAGATAGACAGATGATCAGAATCTCTAGAAAATGTGGAAATGTAAATTAAATCATAATGAGAGAACTTTTGGCTATGAGATGGGAATACATTTGAAAAGCTACCCACAATTGGTCAGAAAGACAAAAAAAATGCTTCTCTTGTGCATTATCGCTGCCTGCTAATAAAGCTCATTCCTACCAAGTTGTAGAATTTCCCAGAATTAAAATGCGCTTTGGCTTTGATTTAGCAATTCCATTTTAACAGAAATAAATCTGTCCCTACACAAGGTGCATAAGGTGCATTTTGCCTTCTATAGAGATGAAAGATGAACCACAAAGACCAATAACTTAGGTGAATGGAGCAATAAACAAATAGACATGCCATAAAAAATCAAATTTCATTCACAAGAGCAACGAAAACGTCAAGCTAATGATAATCCAAGGGAATTTGCAAAAACTTTTTTTGAAAAATCCAAGATGTTTGTAAGGGGTAAAAGGCCACCAATTACAGACCTGCTAGTCTTGGCAAAACGGTTGACAACAGCTTGAAGTCCACCAATATGGAAATGGGTCCTTAATTTTTCAACAACCACATGGATACTCTGAAGTCTTAAATCAGAGGACTATTTCTGTGTGTGGTCACTACTTATCTGACAGAAATATCTGTCTCTAAGTCATGTTTGAAACAAAAGCCAATGTTAAAAGCACTGAGGTCACGGGGGGGCCTGGCTGGTCCCTGCTGTCAGAGCCCGGTCCTTGGGGCTCAGAGACACCACAGGACAGATAGACACATCCTGGCGGGCTTCAGCACCAGATGTTAAGTAAGCAGAGAGGAGTCGGCCCGAATTTGGAGTTCTGGATGGGACCTTCTGGAGAGTCTCAGTCACGTTAGTGGATGGGGTTAGAGGGGCCAGTGGGATGGGCTGGGCTTAGCTGGGCGAGGCAAAGGAGTGCATACGACTGGGGGAGTAAGGAGAGCCAAGTACCTGCCTGTAGCAACAGATGATGCTCTGGTGTGGGTATGCCATGTCCTGGTGGAGTAGGCACCATTCTCTGGGCTCAGGGGGCTGGGAAGAGCCGCGCCAGGCACTTGGGCAGTGAGGCTGAGGGTGGGCAGATGGGACAGACCCACGAAGCACAGTATTGCTGTTCCCTGGTCACCCGGGAGGGTACCCAGCAGGCGTATTGACTTCTTTCCTGCCTTCTCCTTCTTCGTTCTCAAACAGTTTAATAACAAATAAACTAAAGAAGGCATCACACTTGGCAGATAAAAAAAATGACTTTTTGTCCCTGCATCTGTGCAATTAAATTTAGACTTGGAACAAAAGGAAAAACATAAAAAAGGAAGGCAAGTTCTCTGAAACACCAACGTGCTCCAAATTTGTAATGATTTTTTTCCTTTTTAATCCACTACATAAACTATGTGATTGGAAAAAGTGGCAAAAGCTGTTCTTACATTTTCTTTTAAACCATTAAAGTAAAATCCATAATTTTCTCCACAGTACAATACAAGGTCACATAAAAAGGACATTTTCTTTTGCAAATCAAAACAGGAAAGAAAGGAAAGCTCAGACAGAGCCAAGGAAAAACATTTCTACAGCTGAATCTCAACTGAGCTGACTCCAGTTGCTGCAGAACAGACCATGTTTGGTCACAGTGGCCATTTTTTTCCTCTTCACATTGTGAAAGCATTTTATATTGTTTTCTACTAGAAAAGGCAAAAACCCATACAACACCCCTAATGTTAAACACAGCGTTTTATCAATAAAAAGCTCAGCAGGTTTGAATGTACTTCCTTTTTTAAAAATTATTCACAAAAAGCAGCAGGAAATTAGAAAGGCAGCTGCCACTCCAGGGTCTTAAATTTGTCAAAACCCCCACCGAACAATTAAAACAACCAGAGAAAAGGAAAAGGAAATAGCAAACATTTGGTTCTAACCGCTGGGTTTTCCCAGCACTCCCCTTGGCACTAAAAGCGAAATAGATGGACAAACCCAGTTTCTCCCGCCAGGCCTCACAGGCAGTTCTGGCCTGGGCCTGGCTTCCCTGCCCTCTCCCGGGACACTGGGGCCTTGGGCTGCGGGCACTGCTTGTCCCTCCCCAACAGCTACAGCAGCACTGACCCCAGCCCTCAGCGCCCGACACCCCGACACCCTGTGCTCAAGCTCGGCCTGCCTCTCCCGGCCGGTCCTGCCCGCCCCAGCCGCTGGCTCCTCTCCCCTCCTCTCAGCTCCTGGCCTCCACCTGACAGCTCTGAGGGAGAGAGCTGCCACTTCACAATAAAACAGGATAATCTCGGAAAACAGCAACCAACCCCACACAGCCTCTTTGAAACCCTTTTAAATTGGTTAATTTCTGCACAAACTGGAAAACAGAGGAGAGGGTGAAGTACATGAAGGTGTGAAGAAACAGCAGGCAACAGACAAAACTTGTTTTTCCTAAGCATAATCTTAGTGGGGAAGAAAAATATTCAGAATAAAAACACAGAAACAAGAACAAAGCATCACATGTGGGGGTGAGCCCCAGGGGCTGAGGGACGGCAGGGGCGTCTCTGAGCCCAGCAGGGTCACCCCATGGAAAAGGGATGGCTGGGGCCCAGTTGTCAGAGGGCAGAGGCTCAGGCATGTTCTGCTCTGGAGAATCGAGGATGGGTGGCGACCCCGGGGAGGCCTTCAGACTCCAGCTCAGAGCTGAGAGCCAGCAAGCGCTCAGAGTGCACTGAGGCAAGGAAAGCGGACAGCGGACAGGTGGCAAAGCAAAAAGTGAAATCAGTCAAGGAGAGGCCATGATCTAACCGTGGCGACCCAGCGGTGGCCAGGTAGAGAATGCCAGGGTGCTGTGCTGGGAGACTTTCTCAAAGCCATTTTCTCTGCAGTTTCTTGTACTGTGAAGGAGGCTTCTGTGCTGAGGATATTCCTGTTTCTTTCCGCAAATTTGTGTTTGTTAAATCTTCCTGTGATTGGGGAGATATCAATTCATGACTACAGTAGTGAAATCTAGGTGCCAGTGTGATTTAGGAAGAGATACAAGACAGGGCCCACTGATACTGTGTGGAAATCATAAGTGTGTGTGTGTGTGTGTGTGTGTGTGTGTGTGTGTGTATGTGTGTGTTTCAGGGTTTCTCCCCCTTGAATGTGTATTTTTTGGTACTGGGGATCGAACTTGAGTCCTTGCGTTTGCAAGGCAGGCGACAGCATCACTGAACTAAATCCCTGGCTCAGTGTGGTATATTTAAATTGAATGGAAGTTTGTATGTAGCTCAGGGTAGGGTGTAGTTAGTGTGTCCATACATGATTGTCTGAGTGGGATTTTTGTGTTGACTGAGTAGTTTTATGTAAAGTGGACTTGGTATGTCTCCGCGTGATGACATGTAACTTGAATGTGTGTGATTTTTTTGGTCAGATTTATGGGGTGGGGGATTTGGCGCAGTTCTGTGCTGTGTGGTGCCCACCTCAGGAAATGAATGGTGTACTGTGCTTGCGTTGGGATGGAAGGTCACTGGTATGAGAAGAGAGCATGTGGGGCTGTGTGTTCCTTTGAAGGTTTATGTCTGATAAAGCTATCATTGTCCCGTGTGTACCAAGATCTTCCCAAGTGGAATTCTCAGGGAAAGAAGATTCTGAGTTGAGGCCTAGGGTGGGATCATGACCCCAAGGTGGTAATCGTAAGTGTGACTGTGTGCATGCATGCACAAACATATCTGCACACAAGGCTTCTCTGCATTTCCCTGGAGAGGTCCCCAGCTTTCACTAATGTTCCAAGAGCATCTATGGCCCCATCTTTTTGAGCTACCTGGTGAAGAGATCAGAGTGAGGCTGTCGACCCGCCAGTCGCGTGTGTGAAAGAACAAGCTGATTTCTGCTTCTGAAAGCATAGCTTGGCCAGTTTGACGCCTGCCCTGGGGTTATCACGAGAGACTCTGTGAAGTGCCCATGCAGTCAGCCTAGCTCTGAAGTCTGAGAATTCTTCGGCAATGCCAAAGTGACTGTTCCTGAGATGCTGATTTTTTATGAGAAAGAGAAGCAAAACACTACCTGAGAAAACTCACATCGCAAAAACGCAGGAATAACTAAAGACAATGTGACCTTAGAAGAAAATTACATAACTTTATTGACTGATAAAAAGTTTGAATATAGGGAAGGACAATATTATATTCTAGATGCTAAGGTCAAAATTAAAAATGTTAATCCTAATTCATGCATAAATTCTTTGCAACAATCAAAAGGCTGTTTTTAATTAATAAACATACATTTTCATTTGGAAGAAAAAATACATATAGTTTTCACATAAATAGGTATACATACACATACACACACTTTTTAAGGCAAAATAACAAGAATATAGATGTACAACAAAATAGGGTGATAAGCCAGAGATACAAAGTAGATGGCCCAGATATAAGTCCCGTACAATATAATATGGCTACAACCCTTTTATTAGTTGTTGATGTTGGACCAACAGGGACAACGGGATGGGGTGATTTTGATCCCTTTATTTCTATAACACACCCAAGTAAATTCAGAAATAGTTACAGCATATTAAAAATAATGAAAAATCCACAGCAAAGAACTCTAATAATTCAAAGAAAATGCTAGACAAGCTAAAAAAACACTTGCAGACAAAGACAGTGGGTGAATGTTGCTCAAATCAACAGGCTATTAAAGACACATAAGACAGAGAGAGAAAATATAATTGCTTAAGTTTATCAGAAAATATTAAAAATCAAGTAACACAACTAAAATGAAATGTCTTTTCCCCTCTTAACCGAAGTGAGAAACACTCTTGTTGTATAATGCTAGTGACCTCCTGGGTGTAAACACACATCCCACTGTGGGAACAATGTGCACCCTGATGTAACATTTTTGACAGGGGCTTGAATGCATGTATCAAAAACCCTAGAACAATCACCTATCTTCTGACCCAGCAATTCTGCTTTGGCAAAAATCCATCTTAAGAATCCTAAATTTGGAAAAAGTATTTAAGCACCAAAATTTTGTAACAGTATCATTTGTAATTATGAAAAATCAGAACTCAATTTAACATCTGAAAAAGACAAAAAGGGCCATACTTACGAAGAGCCACGCGCCTATTAAAGAGTCAGTGTGATATGCAACGGAAAGCAGTTTCGGAAGGTGTAAGACTCGGTAACAAAATTAACAAAGTTAAGTGTATTTCATAGATGTCATAGTTACATGAAATGATCTACGAATAGATTAGGGCAGGTAGCAGTCGCCTAGATAAAGAAAAGAACAAGAACAGACCTTGAGATGTCCTCTCACTACTGCTCAGAGGCAACTACTTTCATAAACCTGGCATTTTTGAATAATAAGAAAACAAACTGAAGTGTTAATGGTATTCATGGTACATATTTTTGTTGGGGGGGAAGAGGAAGGGAGAGATCTACCTTTCTCTAAAGCAGGAGTTTCCTTTAATGAGCTTAGTATTACTTTAAAATAAAAAATAAATTCATACTTTAAAAAAAGAAAGATGGAAATACACATCACATTTCATTCAGCAAGTCGCATTTTGGAAATGTATCCTTAGAAAACAACTGTAAATATGTACTTTATCAAACTTTCATGTGATTACAGTCATTAAAAATGGCCACACAAGGGGCCAGGGATTTAGCTCAGTGGTTCCACCACCTGCTTCGCAAGCACAAGGACCCGAGTTCAATCCTCACTACCAAAAAGAAAAAGAAAAAGAAAAAAATGGCCATACAAAATGAGAAAAAGAGAACTTTAGATTTGTGTTGTGGAGAAAAAATTTATATAACTAAGATTAAAATGATAAATCATGCTAGCTTTTTTAGTGTATCCGTGGTTTACAACTCCAGCTTATTGCTCCAGCTTATTTATCGTCTATAAAAACATTCCATAAGCGCAGCTAATTGTTACTGAGTGCCAGCACATCTGGTCTTTTCTATAAATCAACTCTGGGCCTTCCAACAGTTCCCTCGGGGTGATAGGGATGACAATGGTATCCCTGCTTCCTAAGGAAATGAGGTTTAATCAGCTTCTAAGGAAGATGCTGAGATTTGACCTCAAGTCTGGCTCCAAAGCCACACACTTCCCTCCTCCGCTGATGGGCTCTTTCTTCTACCTATGAACACAACTACATTCCTGGCATGTCCTGGTTGAGTATCTAGGACAATTAGGAAGTTTATTAGCCTATGTTGCTTTCCAAAATCTCTGTAATATGCTTAATAATATTTTCACAAGGAAACTATACCTAATACCGGTATATTAAAGTTAGTGTTCTTATAAACTATTTCAATTTATCGGTGGCTCTTTCCAGGCCTGATTTCCAGGCCTGTTATTTCCTGAGATGAAACCACAGTGAAAATTTTTCAAAAAGAAAGGGGATATGGAGGAGAACTGAGCGGTTTATGGTTGTTCTTAGAGAAAACAATCAGCACGACTTTCAGTCCCTGCTGGGATGAGGCTGAGTGTTTCCAAGGCCTTCAAGAAACATATACCTTTGGATCAGAAATTCCACTGCTGAGAATTTCCTCTTAAAAAAATAATACCCAACGTGGGAAAATTGATAAGGCAAATACTAAGACCCAGGAGATGAGAAGGAAGCATAACTGTAACAGCAGTTTGCGTTGCAGAGAGAAGTAACAACCAGCCCTGGTTTCCAACCCTGCAAGTCTAAATACAGCGGGACACACCCACACAACCAAGTATTCAGGCAACCCTGAAAAATGCAACAGGAATACATTATGGCTACCCAGTGGTGAGGAAGGCACTGAGGCCACTTGACCACCAATTACTGGGGCATGACTTTTGAAGTATGGGTTTCAGCCAGTTCCTTTTCACAAGAGAATTCTAATACCAAAATGTAGAAAGAGTTAAGAAAACAGAAAATTGCCATTATACTACACAGAGTTGTAATGACTATAGCAAGGCCCACTTCAGATACTCCTGTGAAGAAGAAGTGGATACTTGCATGGTCTTAAAGTTTGTCCTGATATTTATTAATTAAAGGGAAACAAACAGTAACTTTATAGTAGAGAAATCCAGCAGACACCACTTCAAGGCAGCAAAGTCAACACTACCAACAAGACACATCAATATCATGTCTTCCCACAGTAATGGTAGCAGGATCAGAAACTACACTATGGTGAACTGCAGAAGGGGCTGTGGTAAGAAAATGGAGCTAGCCAATGAGGACTGCGCATCAAGAACTTTTAAAATGGAGAGGGAAAGGACTGCGCAGCTAGCACTATTCTTCTGGTGTAGATTTTGGTGTCATGTTTACTTTAGAGTTCATAACCTCTGAAAACTGACTCAATGAGAAAAAGCAGGACAGTGAATGACAGTAACAACTCACCCCTTTCCAGGCAAGGAATCAGGTTCTGGGAGTCCAGGTCCACCTGGTTACCATGTGTCTTTACATCTGAGCACCATTCAGGGTCAGTGAGGGAAAGCTTCTATTACGTCACATGGTACAAAAGAGATTCTTAGTGCCATTCAGGGCTTACACCTTAAAGAGTGGTGCACCTAGTATGCAAATGAGATTTTAGGTGAAGATGGACATGCTGGTGATGCCAAAGTTCAACAACTACCAAAAAACTTTACTAGTCCACTAACGGCTTTTTCATCTAAAATAACAATCACAAGAAAGTGTTTAACAAAAATAGTTTTCTGAATTCATTTCTCAAAATGTCATCATGTAATCCTATATCATGAAATGACTATCAGAACTTCACCCTAAGAAAGCTCTATGAACCCTGATATGATTGCATTCATCTGATTTATTGTGAAATGACCATGGAACTACTAATCAAAAAGATGGCTCTGGGGGCCAGGGATTTAGGTCAGTGGTGCTGCCACCTGCCTTGCAAGTGCAAGGACCCAAGTTCAATCCCTAGTACAAAAATCAAACAAACAAACAAACAAAAAACGGCTCTGCAAAGTATAAGTACTATAACTCTCATTCAGAGAAGATAGGGAAGAAATTTTTTTAAAACCTGACTTCAATTCCTGCAACATCATTTACAACCTAGGTCAAATTTGGAGTTTCAAGTTTGCTTTATCTATAAAAATCAGCACTAGGTACCTTGAGCAAATAAAAATAATATATAAAACAACATTTTTATAAATTATGAGATACTATGTAAATATACTGCCAATAACATCAACTCACGGAATGAATCATTCTAGGTAATACCTTGAAAATCCTTTTACCTTGCTGACATATGTTAACTCTTTCATAAACTGAGGCCACGGACTGCAAGTCTGGAGTACCACTGTCTGCTATAAATTTTAATCAGCATGTCAAAATCAAGATTCTCTATCCCATGAATACCACTAAAGGAAGGTAAAATGTATTAGCTTCTTTCCTATGCCACAAAAACTCCCTTTGTAAGTTTTTTGCCTTAGTGACTACTAATGTGGGCAGAATCCTCTCTTGTACAAAGGTTGCTGTACTCTCACCTGACCATTCCCCCGTTTTTTTCACCATACCACAATAAATTTTCAAGTTGTTAACAGGGTATGACGAGGGTCAGGAGGAAGGCCTTCTCAAATGCAGCACACTCAAACATTGTTTCTATAGGACAAAGCCAGAGGTGATGAGAAAGCATATTCTCTAAATGTTTTTAAACAGTGATGTCAACTGTTTTCTCTTGAAAATGGAGCTGGTAATGTTCAGAGAGGTAGAAAGGTCCCCCGAAACACTTCCCACACAGCTGACACTGGCACGGCTTCTCTCGAGCATGGATTCGGTAGTGCAGAATGAGGTGTGAACTATGACTGAAGGTTCTGCCACAGTCACAGCATTTGCAGGCTCTCTCTCTAACATAGTCCTGTTCCCGCTGGTAATGAATTAAATATGTCTTGTTGGACAACACAGGGGAAGAGGCCTTTGCTGCACTGTGTACCTTAAGATGTTGAGAAAGATGTACACCTTGGATAAAAGTTTTGCCACACTGAATACATTCAAAGGAGTCCTCCTGTCTACGAATTCTTACCTGACCAGAGAGATCTCCAGGCTGGATGAAAGACTTTCCATCTTTATTGCACTTTGAGTGCTTGTCACTAGCGTGAGACTTCTGGTGCCTGTTGAGGTGCGGCATGAGGAAGAAGGCTTCACCACATTGCTTACATTCGAAGGGTTTCTTCCCAGTATGGATCGGCTTGTGTCTCACAAGACCGATTTTGGTACTAAAGGCTCTTTCACAAATTTTACACCTGAAGTCTTGTACTAGCTGGGGTCTGGTGCTCATGCTGGTAACGTTACATTCCTGGGGATCCTTTCCTGGAAGACCCTCTGACTGCTGGGTAACATTAGAGCCTCTCTCAAATTCATCATTACTATAACTTCTTTCTTGATCAAGAGTCTTGGTGTCACTCATTACTACAGGATTGAAAATGTCGTCCTTCCGGTTGTCTTCGTGTGATTCCGATGCATCAGAAGAGTTTCCTAAATAGACATGCCAGAAGTCACCTACTGCCAGAACCACTATTCCTGCCCCACAGGATGATTTTTCTACAAACAGGCTTTGTTCTGCAGTTGGCTCTTTGGTCTGAGGTCTCTTTTCCTAGTCTAAAAGAAATGTGGAAGTTCCTGTACTCTTTTCACTCTGAGAGACATGCCTTTGTAGTAGAAACAGAAGAAAGAGACAAAAGGCAACGGAATAGATCTTATGAATGTTTAAATGTTCTAGGAACGGACCCGTAGAGATGAAAATCAGAAAAGAATGGAAAGGTAAACAGGCAAGAAAGTGTGAGAAGAGCAGAAAGGAAACCGTCCAAGTGGGCTTCACGTTGACAAAGATGACAGAGACATAGGGAGTAGAATGAAGAGGAAACCAAAATGAGATTTGGGACTGAGGTTTGACCAAACCGTGCTTAGTAGATTACTAATATTTTCAAAAACTAATAGCTGTGGGTCAGGGATTTAACTCAGTGGTGTTGCCACCTGCCTCACAAGTGCAAGGTCCTGAGTTCAATCCCCAGTACACAACAAAAACAAAAAACTAATAGTTGCATATCAATTTGGGAAACATTAGATAACACGAGTCAAGTGGGCTGCATTTATCTAGGATTCTTCAGAACCTTTGATATGCACCTCAAATCTCAAAAGGGGAAGCATTTGAGAATATCACATTTCTCAAACTGATTTTACAATGGGACATTTTTAAAGAATGCCTATTAAACTGGGTGGGTGGTGCACGCCTATAATCCCAGCACTTGGGAGGCTGAGGCAGGAGGATTGCTGAGTTTAAAACCAGCCTGGGCTATATAGTGAGTTCCAGATCAGTCTCAACTACATAGTGAGACCCTGTCTCAAAAAAACCAAAAACAAAATAAAGAATGCCTATTATCACGGCATTATCAGGACCTTTAGGCAACACATCAACAACTTCTTGCTTACAATAAAGTAACAGGATTCTAACTCTTTTCTTGGATCCCAACTCTCATTTTACCCAAATCTACACTGCCAACTAACTACTTGTCTTCAATTTGCTGTTTGGTAAGCCTATTTTGTGCAAAGTATTATCCAATTTGATGATCCTCAGAAGTTTATTGAAGGACTCCAATTAGACAAAAATCACTACAGAAGCAGAGACAGGGTAATTGATTCCATGAAAAGGTTGGAGGAGGGGACTCAATTTGGGCTTGGTAAGTAGTGAAGGAAGTGGTAACAGTAGAAAACAGCTCAAGCAAAGACACTGGATCATCAAAATAAGACAGAAACATGAGAGCTTAGGTGGGAGAGATCTGTGGGAATAAGATTGGTAAATGAATTTCAGGCCAAAATGGGAAGAAATGAAATATTTTGTTGAAAGTTGAATTTTCTTACGACGGTATTAAGAAACTAGCAAAAAAAAAAAATGGGCTTTATAAAGACGATTTCCTGAATGGGAAATTATCCAAGGAAATCAAGTATAAGATTGTGGTTTGGAAGAGGCAGTTATGAACACAGGGGTATAGACCAACAAATACTCCAAATATGAGCAGCATAGCCAGAATGCAGCTTAGTGAGTCACTACGGGATAGCTGGACCCAGCACCAATGGATTAGATCTTTTAGGAAATGGTCTTTAACACATTCACATTGGGCCAGAATTCGCATGTCTTGCTGCCAGGCTGCTCTGATTTGAACATGTGATGTTCCCACTGGCTTGAACCACTGCATGTACCCCTAGTGGCTCAAGCCAGAGAAATGTGTTAAGGGAAGAGTCAAGAGTAGAATGCTAAACCACAATCCAGTCCTAATTCCCATTTCCACCACCTGCTGGATATCCATTAATCCACATGTTCTTCTCTCAAAGAACACCCTGAACCTCAACATTCTTCAATCCTAGCACCAGTGTCTTATCATCTGTAGCCAGATGGACTTCAAAAGACCCCCATTATCCCACCCATTATCTACAGAACAATCAGATGAATCTTTTTAGGATAGCACTGCCCAACAAAACTCCCTGCCATGATAAAAAAAAGTATGCATTTCTGCTAACACAGTAGTCATGAGTCACAGGTGGTTATCAAACTCTTAAAATGTGATTGGTGTGACCAAGACAATGTATTTTAAATTTTATTTAATTTTAATTAGTTTAAGTAGCCACACGTGATTAGGGACTGCAATATTGGATGGCCCAGTTCTAAAATGTCAATATTGCCACTTCACTCCTCTGTTCAACACCTTGCACTACCTTTGCAACTCACTCAGAATTAAATCCACGTTCTTTAACTAGCCATGTGTGGGCTGGTGCTTGTCTATTTCTATAGCCACAACTATTATCTCTCTCCACCTCACTCAGACCATACAGCCTTTGTGCCCTTTTCTGGTACACTCATATTTATTACAGCCACTCCATATGTGCTGACCCTTCTGCCTACCTATTACACTCTTCTTCAAAATTTCTATGAGCCAACCCACACAGGGAAGAGAATAAAAGTGAAACGTTCTTAGATGTTCACAAATGTGAGCGACTGGTTGGGAGGGAGAGGGAGGCAGTGGTATCTTGCCAAGGTTTTTCCTTTATCTCAGTTAAAGAGGAAAGATATTTTATTCTGGCTGCAAGGAAAAAGGCACAAATGAATGGAAGGGTTATAACACTAGAGGAAAGGGAAATCAGCCTCCCTGGAGCTATGGAGCTAGGTGTGAGAGGAACCGGTGCTGCAGGAAGAGATGAGCCTTGGAAAGGAAATGAGGAAAGTACTGAAAAGAGAGAGGCCCTGAGGGGATTCAGCTCAGTGGTGCCGCCACCTGCCTCACAAATGCAAGGTCCTGAGCTCCATCCCCAGTACCAAATAGCGGGGGGCGGGTGGAAGGAAAAAACTGAAACAAAAGAGAGAGGCCCTCAAGTGAGAGCACCACCGGCTGTCTCATCAAGCTGAATGGCTTTGAGGAATGGTCCTGAATAGCAGGTCCCAGCCCCCTCCTAATTAACTGGGTGGGGTTACTGCCTTCCTGTGAGGCCTGCCTCTCTAGGTTTTCCCCTCATTACTCACCTGGACAAATCACTGTATTGCTGTCCTCTTCTATTGCTCTTGACGCCTCTTCTTCCAGGTATGTTATAATATCAGGTTTGGGAAATTGACACCCTGTTGAAGAAGGAAGACTCATAACTTGGGATTCAAGAACTCTCAATTCCGGGTCCTCACAACTTGGGAATAATTTCTAAAAGGCATAACTTTTCCAGGAGTAAAATCAAGTCTGTCCCCAAGCCTAGAGAGCATTCTCAATGGCTTCATTTCCTGAAGACATCTGGCCATATATGAAGATATTTTTTCTTGTCACAATGGTAGGAAAGGGAGAGGTACTCCTGGTATCTCATGAGTGGTAGGCAGGGATGCTGCTCTGCATCATCCAATGCAGACAGCCGCACAACAGTGTCATTACCTGGCCCCATATGTCAATGCTGCCAAGACTGAAAACTGTGCTACACAGTAAACACTTAGAGGTACAGAACATCCATTACATAACACAGAATCAAGTATGACATGCATGGGATCAGAATAGTAGCATTACTTTGTAACCCTGATGCCTGTAAGGGACATAAAACATAATGAGCTCATTGGTATGTCAATTATGGCCCTCAAATTATGGCCCCAAAATGGTATTTTGACCATTTATAGTAGTACTTGGTATTTTTGTGACATTGCTAGGGGTATTTGGTATTTATTTAATATTTTCTTTAGAGTGCCCTTCTTTTTAACTTAAACAGGCTTATTTTAAATGGAAATGTTGTATCAATCCTATAAATCAAAATCAATGTCACTAGCAAAAAAAAAAAAAAGTAATGTAACAATAGATGCAACAGAAACTAAGTTTACTAGATACTAATTACTTTCTGTTGCCTAAATATGGCTCAGGTTTGAGGTCTTCTCTCTTTGCCCAAATGGAAGATCAACAAAATTCAGAGACATTCCAATACCAAACTTACACTTTCTACCTAACATAATCAGAAGGTTTAGGGAAAATTAGTGTCTTTCAGGCAGCACATCAGAGTTTAAGAGGCAGATTTATAACTTGGGATTCAAGTTATGTGACACGAGGGGTCGAATCACAGCTTTAAACAAGTAAATCTACCTTTGAACAAGTAATCTACCCTTTCCCTAAGTTCGTTTCCTTATAGATATAAAATGGCAAAAATAATAATAACAATAATTAGTACACCTCCCCCTCATAGAATTCGTATGAGGGTTAGAGTTAAAACCTGCAAAATGCTTAGACTGCTGCCTGATACATATTAAGTACTCAATATAGGTTAGTTATTTCATCATTATCAGTGAACCAGACATTAAAATACTGCCTCTGATCTAGGGGTGATACAATGAGCCACCACTACAGATGGGGAGATGCAGAAGAACCTCCATGGATCTAGTGGGCAGAAATCAAGTTCTGTGAAGAGAACACACTTACCTACGAAAACCAGGTTCTGGTAATTCTCCAGCATCACCTCCCAGTAGAGCTTTTTCTGAGAAGCAGTTAAATGGCTTAACTCCTCTTCGGTGAAGGTCACAGCCACATCTTCAAATGTCACCAACTCCTACAACAGCAGAAACACCCCATTAAAGCCCAGGAATTATCCCAGGGCAAGGAGAGGAAGCCTAACAAGAGAGGACTAAATGTGAAGGAGCCATACAGATCAGTAGAAAGTTTGTAAGTGCTCTAATCCTAAGGTCACAGGGACTTAGCATTGCACCTTTCTGACAGAAGTGGTAACACTTCTGAGAGTCCCTAAACAATTACTAAAGTGTAAGGAGACAAAGCAAGAATGCATATACTTAACAGCTCAGCAGTACACTTTGTTCCAAGAACCAGGGAGGTGGGTTTAAGTCCTGGCTTTGGTTCTTATAAACTTAGTGTGAGTAGGTTAAGCCTCATGTCTTATCTGTAAAATTCAGAGAACTGATAACTATGAAGAGATATTAAAATCTTATTAACAAATATGAAAATGCAAATCAAAATGAAAATAGTCCATATTCATTCAATTGACAAAAATTAGGAAGTCTGACAATAGCAAGTGTTATCCTCAAGATCTCTTATAAGATGCTAAAGGAAAAATAAATGATAAGCCACTTTGAACCCAAACTAGCTATGTTGCTCCTGGGCACTTAAACACATATACGCGCATATTTATAATGGAGCTGTTTGAAACACCTAAAACCTGCGACACAGTATCACATGGCCAGGTTGGTGGTGGCAGCAAGTGACAGAGACTCTGATACATGCACTGAAGCAAAGCAGGTGCACTCGAGCGGCGACAACAAAGAAAACCAGAGTCAGGCAAGCAATCAGAAGGAGAAACTCACTGACTGAAATCCAGCACCAGAGGGTTTGAAAAGAGAAGCTGGGTAGCTCCTGATTGAAGAATGCCTTACATCCCTGCCTGGCGTACACTCCATCTTGGGAGAGGATTGGACTTGCCAGGACAGGGAGTCAGCATTTCAGGGGTAGCTTGGCTGATAGAACAGACTCCCAGTCACTCTAACCTCTCCGCTGGGAAAAGGAACACAGCCTATGAGATACTCAAAAACCAAGGCTTCAGAGAAACAGAAAGCTGTTTAACATGATCTGACTGACTAGGGAAGGTCCAGAAACAGGTGAGAACCAAGTCCCAAGAAAGCAAACCTCACCTGGGACCTCTCAGAGGGTAGTTTGTCCAATGCCTCTGTATTCTCTTGGTGTTCTGCAGTGTTCTTGTTTTCTGCAAGGACAGAGTCCTGAGCAGGGGAAGCTACAAAAGAGGAAAGACCACGGAGTGGAGTCCTGTCTGGCAGCAAGCAAAGACACAGAACTGCCTGCTGCCTCCCACTACCCCATCTTGCCACAGTGGGCTTCCTATGGCAAAAGAAAGGTCACCAAAGTAAATTCTCAGGTCAGGGATTTAGCTCAGTGGTTCTACTGCCTGCTTTGCAAGCACAAAGTCCCAAGTTTGATCCCCAGTGCCAAAAAAAAAACAAAAAACAAAGCAAATTCTCTTTTCAACATAGCAAAGCCCAAAAAGGACTCTGGTCTTTTCCCAGCTCTAAATCTTTTAGTGGCTCTTCACTGTCTTCCAATAAAGTGAAAGTTCTCCCTATATAGTATTAGTGGTTTTTTGGTAGTTTATAGTTTCAATGCCCAATCAAAATTATTAGGAGGGCCGGGATTTTAGCTCAGTGGTTCTACTGCCTGCCTCTCCACAGCAAGGTCCTGAGTTCGATCTCTGGTACATTTTTAAAAAATTATCAGGCAAACTCAGTTTTTCAACTATAACAAATACTTATACCAGGCCAGGGATTTAGCTCAGTGGTTCCACCACCTGCCTCACTAGCACAAGGTCCTGAGTTTGAACCCCAGTGCCAAAAAAACAACACATACCTATGCCTCCAAGGACTCTTATGAGGCTTGAATATTACAAATGTAAGACACATGGTAGGTAATTTTTTGGGGGAGGGGGGGTACTGGAGATTGAACTCGGGTCCTTGTGCTTGCAAGGCAAGCCACCGAACCGCTGAGCTAAATCCCCGGCCCCATGGTAGGTAATTTTTAATGGCAGCCCTTATTGAACCTTTCCTACATCCTTTTCACTTACCGATCTAGAAGACAGAAGGCTAAACCTTGAAGACCCTCCTTGCCTGTAGTTTTTTTCAAGTACAGTTTTCATTACTAGATTGTTTCTTTCTCAAGTCCTAGGCTACTCTTTACCCCACCCCACCCTCCACCCCAGCTCCAATGGTTCTGGGCCTTTAGCCAAATCCTTAACCTCTGGGACAATAACCACTATGTCCACCAGAGGCAGTGTAACACTGTGATTAAGAGTGTAGATAGGGAGCAGGCAGCGTGACGGCCAATTTGGGAGGCTGAGGCAGGAGGATCCCTGTGAGTTTGAGACCAGCCTGGGCTACACAGTGAGTTCCAGGTCAGTCTCAACTACATAGTGAGACCCTGTCTCAAAAAACCAAAACAAAAGAATTGTGGAACCACAGGCAAATTACTCAGCTTCATGCCTCTGTTTCCTGGTCTGTACAATGAAAGTAATTTCACAAAACTGCTAATGGGAGCAAATGAATTCATATGCAAAAACACCTACAATAATACACTGTAAGTGTTCAGCATGTACACTATAAAGCTATACATAGGGGCATGTGCAAGTAATTCCAGCACTCTGGGAAGCTGAGGCAGGAAGATCACAAGTTTGAGCCCAGCTTGGCAATTTAGTGACTTAATAAGACCTTATCACAAAATAAAAAGTAAAAAATGGGCTGGGGATGTAGCTCAGTGCAAAGGTACTGCCTTCAATTCCCAATATTGCACCCCCACCCTCATGTGTGCACATGTGCACATGCACACACAGGCACACACACACACGGCCTCTTAAAAACTCTTTTAAGGAATGTAGGCATACAGAACTGGATAAATCCTTACTTCATGATATGCTATCAGCATTGAGCCATGCATAATTATGTTTAATTTCACTCAATTTCATTTCCAAGTGTAAACAAGGACTGTGAATTTACTATCAAACCCCAAAACTAGAACATTCCTGATAATTTACATCTCCCTATATGCTTCTTTCCTGAGTGTGTACTCCAGCTTTCATTCCAGAAACAGCTACAATCCTAGATTTGTATTTATATTTCCTCTCTCCCTCTCAACAATATTTTTAATATTATTTTTACTTAAAGAATTATGAGAATTGAGTGGCTTTCTTCTTTCATTTTTTAAATGTCTCCTCAGTTCTAATCTAATACTTGTATTACAAAAAGACCAGTAAATTTTCACAGAGGTTAAACTTCCAAGCCTGCCACATTTTATGCCCTTTTACACCTAAAATTTAACCACTCATTTACAAAAATTATTATTGTGCTTGAATGGAATGACCAGATAATGGCCAATTTCCCCACATTTACACTTATTAGTATCATGGGTAGTCCTAGAAGATTTTTTTCATAGTATGTGCTTTGGGGCCGGCGATTTAGCTCAGTGGTTCCGCTGCCTGCCTTGCAAGTGCAAGGACCCGAGTTCAATCCCCGGTACCAAAAAAAAAAAAAAAAATCAAAACACATAGTATGTGCTTTGTTTTTTTGTTGATACTAGAGCTTAGGTTGGATAAGTGTGGGAGAAGGTGACAAAGTTGGTACTCTCAGAGAAATAATAAATATTAAAACAAAAACCAAAGCCCAAATTTTGTACATTTCATGTGAGATTAGACTGGATATATAAAATGCATTTATTTATTTATTTATTTATTTAGGTACCAGGGATCGAACTCGGGTCCTTGTACTTGCAAGGCAGGTGCGAAACCACTGAGCTAAATCCCTGGCCCTGCATTCTTTTATTTAGCTCCTAATACATACTATGCATACAGCAGACATTCAGCAGACAGATATAAGTAACTTCCTACCTGTCTCACCTGGATCCTCACATGCCTGGATCAAGTTTGCCACCAGCATGCTTGCCTCCCTGCTGTTCTCTGGCTGCTTTGACCTCACCCATTTCTGAATCTCCTCTGGCAGGGTGCTCAGAAACTGTTCCAGCACTAGTTGCTCTATTATCTGTTCCTTCGTGTGGGTCTCTGGCTGCAGCCACTGCCGGCAAAGAACCTGGATCTGACTCACAGCTTGGTGAGGCCCAGTCAGTGACAAATACTGAAAATTATTAAACTGTTGATGAGAGTTATCCAGAGCTTCTGGGTTTCTTTTGGGACTAGTTTCTGGATTCTCCTCTTGATTGTGTAGAAGAAAGCTTTGGGCATTCTTCACTATATCCGAAACCTCTGTCACATGCAGCATCTTTGCACCTTGGTCCTTTACAGGATGCAGGCACTCTGCAAGGCAGGATGCTGTAGTATATGGTTTGTGAAAGATGATGGGCAGAGTTGTATCAGATGTAAAGACCCCAAGACTTCAGGACCTGCAGATATTACAGAGACACTTACAAAAGAAGTGCATAGTATTTTTTGGACACTATGGTGGAGGTAGTCTGAAGCAAAAGGAGTTAGCTCATATCACACAAATGTCTCAATACATCTTTATAGAGCTTTGTGCATAGGCACACAGATTATTTCGCAGCCCTATTCCCAGAAAACTACAAACAGGCTAGAAATATGTCAGAAATGGTACTGAAGGGAAAAGAGATTTGAACTCCAAGCACAATGAACTAAAATAAATTGATAAGCCATAAAAGAATGCATTTCACTTAAAAATGAGTTAGAATTATATAGAATGAGGGAAGATCCTGACAATATATATCCTACAAAGAACTGCATTCATATTCAGAATAGATTAAGAATTTATATAAATTGGTAAGAAAAAGGCAGACAAAACAGGAGCAAAAAAATGAAAATATTTTAGGAGATAATACATAAAAATGATAGTTAAATGACTAACACAGTGGGGCACAACTTCAGTTGTTATCAGATATATCAGTTAAAAGTACAATAAGATACCAAGGTGTACACTTCAGAAGGTCCAAAAGTAGAAGTCACAGAATACTAAGTGCTGCTGAGGAGATATAATAGAAATATATACATATATTTTCATATATTGTAAATCTAAATGAGAATATGGATATCATACTGTTGAAAGAGGCTTAAAAATACAAATTGCATGATTACGTTATATAAAACAATTCTAAGATGTTAGAAGTTAGAGAGCAGTGAAGGAGAAACAGGGCTGAGGGAGGAACCGTACTGAGGAAGGAGTGGGCAGGAATAGGGCAAGGGTGAGGGGCTCTAGGACAAGAGGTAGACTGAGGTGGAGGAGAGGATGGGCTGAGGAAGAAGAAGGGTCCAACTGAGTGAGGAAGGGAAGAGTAGGGGCAAAGATAGGGGGGGCAACTAAGGAAGAGAAAGAGGGACCAGGATGGGAGAGAAGGGGCCAGAGTGAGGGCACGGAGCGGGGGGGGGGCGCTGAGAAGGAGGAGGAGAACGGGGGTTAGGAGGAAGAGGAGGGGGTCAATACTGACTGAAGAGGGGGACAACATAGACTGAGGAGGACAGGGCTGACTGAGGAGGAGGAATCTAGGCCTAAGAGGGGGGAGGTCAAGGATGGCTGGAGGGATGGACAGAAAGAGGAGAGGAGGAAGAGGACAGGTCTGAGGAGGAGAACAGGGCTGAGGAGGAGGACAAGCCTGACTGGAGAGGATAAAGCTGAACGAGGAGGAGGGCAAGGCCGACTGAGGGGAAGGAAGACAGACCTGACTGAGGAGGACAGAGCTGACAGGATGACCGAGGCCGCCCATCGTTCCCCCTCAGCCCCGCCATCTTTGTCCCTGTTCACCACAGTCGCTGCCTGGCCCTGCAGTCACTCTCCACAGCAAGGCCACCACACATTCTCCTGGTGGTGCCTACTAGCTTTTCGCCATCGTCTCATACCCTCATGCTCCCTCTTCCCGGCTACCCGGAATCTGCCTACTTCTGGAAACTTCTTCGCTCACCTCACCCGCGCGACACCCTCACCTGACAGGACTGCGGCAGTGACTAGACGCTTCGCACACTGGTGGGCATGCGCACTGGAAGGTATGCGCCTGCGCACTGAGCTGGTCTCCTGCCTATTCCCCTGCCCCGCCCCCTAGGGAGAGAAGAGAGGCGAGCGGAAGTGGTGTCTGCGGGCTTCCTGCCTCAAATGAGTGTGTTAAATGGGTGAAAAATTGAGTGCTTTGAGACTTTTTAAAATAAACAGAAGACAATAATAATGATCCCTCTCCAAATGTGCCCCATCCACTACATATTTACCCCACTATACACACATATAGGCAACCACTATGCTTTGAAGTGTCCTTCCGGGGTGGGGGAACCTAAATAAGCCTTCAAGCCTTGGTTGCTTTTACTTACTTCAGGTCAACTTTAAAATCACGAATTTTGTAGGGCAAGCAGTGGAGCAATAGACCATTAGTCTCTAATAGAGTACTAGTACTCACTTTGTTGAAAGTACCCACTCTTCACCTTTGTGACCTTTTGATAGCAGCGAATCCAAACTCCATCCTCAGATCACACTGGTGCCACCATTTTGTATTCAGGTCCTATGAAAAGTTAGGAGATTTCATTACCACTGTGCAAATTGCTAATTAATTCACCTCCAATCACCTTTCCCAATGCCTCCAATCACACTGCTTCTTTGTCTCATAAATGTTCCTAAACTCTATCTTAGGGAAGATGAATTTGAGGCGTGGTCTCCTGGCTCCTTATGCTTGGCCATCTCATGAGTAAATTCTTTTGCAAAAACTCATAATCTAAGGAATAACACACTGTGTGCTGGGCAAAAGGCCTACTTCACTGGCATACAGAAAGTATGTATAAGTATATATGTGTGTTTGTAATAACATTGATACATCTGGTGTGTGCACTTATGTTTACATAGGTTATACTGTACGTGTATATGTATGTATGTTATACAAATGCATACAAAATTATACAAGCTATCAATATTACTATACTGTAATTACTATACTGTATATTAAATGGATAGTAATAAATTTAATCTGAAATAGAAAACATTCAAATATTTTAAAACATGATGATTGTTTCTCAGCCTTTTGGCTAAGATCAAGTGTAAGACATGAGCTGAGCATGGTGGCACATACCTGTAATCTCAGCACTCAAGTGGCTGAGGCAGGAGGATCACCTATGAGTTCATGCCAACCTGGGCTACATAGTGAGTTCAAGACCAGCCCAAACTATATAGCAAGAACCTGACCCTGCCTCAATAGATAGATAGATATAGATATAGATATAAAGATATTAAACATGTATACAGCATGATATATTACATAAATATGACATTATATATGATGTATATTGTCTTCCATTGTGACAAAATGCCTGAGATAAATGGCTTACAATAAGGAGAAAAGTTTACTTGGCTTCTGGTTTCAGAAGCTTCAGTATTTGTCTCCATTGCTCTAGGTCTGTGGACTGGCATATGTCAGAGTGGGGAGTGTGTGCTGGAACAAAGCTGCTTATTCATGATGGTCAGGAAGCAGGAAGAGAGGCAAGTGCCAGGGTCACAATATCCCCTTCAAGGGCACATTCCCAAAGACCTAACTCTTTCCACTAGGCCCCACCCCCTAAAAGTTCCACTCCCTCACACCAGTACCATAGGCTGGCACCAACCCCTTAGCATGTGGACTTTGGGGGGACATTTAAGATCCACATTATATCACACCAGTCCTTTGCTGCTATAACTCGTGTTAAATGCATACTTTTGACTTTCAGTAACTGTTTGCATGCAATCTATGGGTAGGACAAACGTTCTGAAACAGAATTGCCAAGGCAAAGTGGACACACATGTGGCACTTTGGCAGATTTTTAAACTGCCCTCCATATCTAATACAACGAGCAGCTACATGAACACGCCAGCATCCACACTGTTACATTAAGCTATTTTAATTTTTCTAAAACTTGAGAAATAATAGCAAGGATGATTCTGGTTCACACATTTGTCTTATCATAAACAATATGGAATATGTTTTTCTGGTTTTAGGAACCATTTGCAATTTAACTGAAGCAATTTATCAAGAGGTCAAGATGTGCAGGTGGGATGTGCTGAGATGTGTGCAATAAATATGCCTAGGCATTATGTTTATGGTGAAATGTTTGTATGAGTATAGAGCTTTCTGGAGTCAGTACAAGAAACTGGAAAGCACTGCCTCTGGGCAACAGACTAGGTAGCTGAGGCAGGAGAGGCAAACTTACTTTTAACTATGCAATCTTCGGCACATGTTCTAACACACAGGTAAGCCATTATCTGGTTTCTCCCATGAATAGCCTGCGTATCTTCTGTGTCTCTGTTCAACTCCCGATCCATCTGTTCTTCTGCCAGTCCATCTTAGTGTCCAGGTACATTTCATAGTAAATTGCAGGCTTCTATTGCTTTCCCTCCTAAGTATTTTCACATGCACGGCCTTCGGCAGAGGGCTGTTCATTTAATTCGCTGAATTTTCAGGTAGTTTACTTATAGGGAACAGGACACACTCAGTGCATCATGTGAAGGAGTTCTGACATGCACATACCTGTGTAACCAGATACCCACAGAGGTACAGATTGTGACCATTATTCATGATATGTCAACTTGACTGGATTATTCCCAGAGAATTAGTAAAGCACACTTCTGGGTGTATCTGAGTGAATCTTGGATGTGTGAACTTGGGGACTGGACACCCAGCTGATCCTGGATGTGCAGCATCATCACAAGTAACTGCTACATATGGCATATAAGTGTTATAGGAGGCAAGCAGTAAGCTCATAGATGTTGATCAGAAGCTAGCAAGCAGGAGGGAAAAAACTAAATCTAGAATGAGTCTCTACTTCACTGAGAACACAACACTGCCCTGTGATGAAAGGTCTTGGTGTGATCAGCCTGCCACCAGATGTCTGGCCGGTGGGGGATGTAGCACCGGCCTGGCCTTGTTTCTCATTCATGTCTTCCTGCCAGCTTACTTCTGCTTCACCTTGTAATGTGCCCATCCCTAAGAGTTAGGATTTGTTTGTATTCAATATCCAGTGGCTCTTGGAAGATGTTTCTTTGACCACTAGATGCATTACCCATGTCCCATATGGCTTGGAGGGTTGCCCTGACAATGGCCCAGGTAGGAAAGGCGCGGTCCCCAGAGTGGCACTATCAGGAGGTGGTAGAATCTTGACAAGTGGAGCCTACTGGGAAATCTCTATGCCAGCTCGTGAAGGGCATTTCAGACTCTGGCCTCTTCGTCTCACTTCTGCTTCCTGGCTCATGCTGAGCAGCTTACTCTGCCACACACTCCTGCCATGAGGTGCCACCCTAGCCAGAGGCCCAAAGTGATGGGGCCACTTCATCTTGCACTGGAACCTCTAGACCCATAAGCCGAAATAGTAAGGGGAGGGACAGCAGTTCACTCCATAAGACACGGTGTGGATCAGACACCAGGAACCAAGTTTCCCTCAGGCCACGTTCATCAGCACACCCGGCCTCGACCCATGTGACCACTCAGCTAGTCTTTAGTGTCTTTTGAGTCTGACTGGACACTGGAAACCCATGAGCACCAGTTTATGCCAGGGAGAAGTCAAATCTCATGGAATAAACATAGCAGCAGGAGTCAGCCACCTCTTCAAATGAGATGAGTGCATCCCCGCAACGGATAAGGGCTGGTCAGGCAGCTCCACCCGTCACTACTTCATCCCTTTCTACCACCTTCTGTAATATATTCTGCAGGAAACCAATCTTAACCTCACCTTGACCTATGTGATGCCTGTTATCAAAGAATGAACTCCAAGCTGTGGCCAAAATAATTCGGATGTCACAAAAGATGCTCACAATCCAAAGGGCTTTCATTTTAGTGTGAATAAATGTTAACTGGTAAGAGTGAAAAAATGCAGAATGTTCTCAAATGCCAAAGTGGTTACAATTAAAAGTCTGCTTTTATACCTCAAGAACAAAATCCAATCATGCCACGTGCAGGGGAATCAGAGAGGAGAGAAGTAGGTGATCGTTTCCTCCGAGTTCAAGAAATCAGGGCACAACAGCTGCAGTTGAGAACTGTATCACCCCTGTGGTCACCAGCAGTGTTCCAGTGGGCAACTAGGCTGAAGACCCCTGGTCATTGTGGAATCACAGGCATGTTTAAAAACTGCCTTCCAGGGCCGAGGATTTAGCTCAGTAGTTCCACCACCTGCTTCCCAAGCAGAAGGTCCCAAGTTTGATCCCTGGTACAAAAAAAAAAAAAAAAAAGCCTCCCAAATTGTGGTTATAACCTACTAATTTTTACGGGATGTTCCTGATGGTGAAGTTGGATTAAAGTATGGCTAATGAACTGAAATGACTCCCGAGGATAAAATGCCTTTGAAATGCAGCAAGGCTTAGGAATAGACACCTCACAGACATTCTAAACCCTAGTATTAGTATTTTTATGTTAAAGATTTGTGAATCTTTGTTTGAGAGAATCTCGGTTTCTAATAAAAAATGCCCAGCCAAATAACTGAAATATGTTTGTGGTTATTAGCGAATTTAAAAACACTACTGGAACACATATTTTAATATTCTAAATGCAGTTAAAAACATGGAGACAAGTAGTGTGAAAATATTCTTTGGGAGTAATTTTTGAAATATGCAAAACTTACAAAAGAGTGAGACTGACAAGCCAAACACATTTTTAAGCCTATGGAGGCACTGTTTGGGATTTATAATTTTAACCAAAAAAATACATACTCAACAACTCAAAACACTTAAAATGAACAGAAAAAGATACTGAGAAATATCTTACTTTTAATTTTATTTTTATTGTTGACACAATTACAGATAAAAATGACCACAACCATTTAACAAATCAAAAACCTGTGCACAGAAACAATATGAAAAACAGATGTTGAGATGTTAACCACAATCTTAGGATAGTGAAGATATGGGTGAATTTCTCTTCTCTATTTCTACAACTTTAAGGTTTCTATAATGAACATGTACTGCATATACAATGGAAATATATATAATAAAGGCTACCAAAGCACGATGATAAAGATCAAAGAAACCAAGACAATATATTTGACTACAATCCCACAATGAGCACACAACTGCTTCTCAGTTGTTTTCCATATTTCTTTCCATCTTTGACACTTATCATTAACATCCTAATAGATACAGACCAGCGCACAGATTGAGATGTTAACAGTAGCTGTTGGAAAATGGGTGAAATTTTTTCTCCTGCTTTACTGAATTTCCAAGCTTTTTATGTGTATATATTGTATTTGTAATGAAAAAATACATACATAAAATGTATTACCAGAACACCAAAGAATATTCAAGAAATTTGAGACAAAATATTTAGCCATAATCCCACAATGACAACACTATTTTAATTATTTTTTCACATTTTTTCATTTTAGACTTTATGCACAGATATTTAACACTGTTACAATCACAAGTTTGTGCACTCAAACAAGTGGAGGAATAGATCAAGATGTTCACAATAGTTTCTGGTGTTGAGAATAGGGAAAATTTTTTCTTCTCTAGTTATACTGTATTTTCTAATTTTTCCTCTCGATACATATTTACTTTTAAAGGAGATACACATAATAAACTTGGTTATCAGGACACCATTATAATGAACATTTAAAAAAATGAAGATGACAGTATAATTTCACAAGAGTAATATGATAATTATCTTCAATGCACATTTTGACATAGTTATAATTATAACCTGTGCACAGAAACAAAAATAAACAAGATACTAAAGAATTTATGTCTTCAGATAGTGGGGATTTTATCATTTTTTTCCTCCACTTTTCTTTATTTTCCAAGTGTTTGATAATGAGTTCAAATTATGTTCACAGTGGAAATGTGAATATTCACTTTTAACACTACCATGTATATTCAAGAAATTTAATAATGCTGAACTATAAGCCCACGATGACAACACAACAGCTTTTGACTATAAGCATACATTTTTAAAGTTATAACTGTAGTATAAATATAATTTTGTGTCCTGCTTTCTCCACTTAATATTCTGCAAATATATTTCTTCACTGCTATGTAGTTCTTTATGATTATCATTTTTAAATAGCTGCATATGAGTCCAAGGATGCTTGACCATTCCTCTATTGTTTGGCATTTAAATTGCTTCTACTCAGTCAAGGTTGGAAAGACACCCTGTCTTCTGTCAGGTTGCTTTCTACAAAGGGCCAAATGATTGACAGTGCGACAGTCATGGTCTCCCCGGATCACATCTGCCCGGATCACATCAACATGGACTCCCACTCCAAGGGTTCCCTTCTTATGCACCTCACTGCCCCACAATTCACTGGATGCCCATTCCAACCTTGGGATTTGTATGCAGCTGCCCTTCACCAATACCGTGCCATCAAGAACGCCTTCCTCCTACTGCTCAGGACACCTCACCTCAACTCAACTCATGGCCACCCTAGCCTTACTTCTGGTGTTTCCTTCTGCCTGTCTCCTTTCCCTCCTAGTCTGGTGACGGATCAGGACTCCCTGCTTTGGCACACTGGTTTCTGCATCTTCCTCAGTTCTCCTGCTCTCCCTGGACTCTGGCATCCAGGCAGGCTCCCCAGGAGCCCCAGTCTTGCAGCTCTAGGGAGGAAGTTTCAGATACCTTTCCCCCAGCAGATATTTTATTTGCTTGAATGATCTGCCTTTATCTTTTGCTCACTTCATTGAGTGATTTGCTTTTTTTTTTAAGTTTTTGTTGATTTTTAAATTTTTTTTTCCCCAGCCAACTCGAGGCCAAAAACTTCTTAGCACTGTATAGCTATTACACATGGGAGGGGAGGCAAAGGCGCACAGGGGCACACAGGATAGGACATGGGCAACCTTGAGCTGTGGGGTCAGCTTGCGATGAAAAGGGGATCAGACCAGCACGACACGAATGGACACCTCACAGATAATCAGGGGGCTGGAAAGAAGATACAGAGGCAACAAAACAAATTAAGGCTGCTGGGGAACCTGAGTCCATGTTAAGCTTGTGCTGACTGTAAAGAAAGCTTTTTTGTTTTTTAATATGCTTAAAATATAGATTAGACAAGGGGTTAAAGTCCAACAGGTAAAGAACAGGTAGATTAAGTTTAGGAATGGAAAGGTTTAAGGACACGTGCTCCTGGTCACCCAGGGAGCAAACTGACTTGTGGCAGCACACAAGCGATGCAGGCCATGGTGCTGCTTGTCTCTTAAGGCAGGAAGCATGGGAGGGAGTGACTTAAGGTCACCAGCGAGCTTCCTTATTTACAGGAATAGGAGAGCGCCTCCCCTAATTCTCAACCTCCACCAGGCAAAACTCTGGTCTAGTGGTGGTTGCAATGCATTCTTTAAAGGCAAAGGCATAAAATTTACAGGGAAAAGCTTTACAAATTCACTGCTGAACCCACACTGAGTTGCTAAAAAAAAAAAAAACCTTTAAAAATACCCCAAATGGTAATATTTCTGCTTGAGAACCACCACAAGGTACACACAATGTGGCAACAGGTTAGTTTGGGTCACAAAAGCCAATCCACAGATTGTAAAGGCTTACACACAAACGTTAGGTCCCAAGGCATTGGTACAGACAGAACTGCTGCAGGAGAAAGCTAAAATTACTTGTCTTTTCAAACAGCAAAGAGTAAAGGTGTGTTATCTTTTGTCTACACCTTCACAAGACTGGCAGGAATAAGACAGAGTTACTAAAAAGATACTGACAGGGTTCGAATAATGCACAATTAACCTTCCTCAGGATCTAAGACACTTACAAATATATATGAATTTGTTACTCTCTCCTCCTCCAAGAAAGAAAAAAGATCAGTGCCAGGTCAGGTAGCTCCGCAGAGTAAACGAACTGTGCATCATTAGATCCAAGCTTACGCGCTCACCGTTTGGCTGCGGCCTGCTCCTTTCTGTATGCGGTGGAACGTGTTGGCAGCGGCACCCTTTACAGTGGACTGGGCGGTCTCTGCTCCGGAATATTCACAGGGTCCCTCGATCTGGTCGCGCAGACGAAGGGAGTGTACATGCTACTGCTCTCCCACACGCACACGGGTGCTCCGTGCGGGGAGCTGAGACCCAAGGGGTCTCCGCACTGGGTCTGAGTGTCCAGCGTGGGTCGGGGCTGCGCGGTCGGTCTGCACGCTTGTCTGACAGGCCGGCCAGCCTCCGCTGGGGCCCGCTGAGCCCGCGTCCTAGGTGAAGACCCTCCAGCCTCGGCACTCGCGCCGGTGTGTGTTCTGGTGTCTGGCGAGGGACAGGCGGTCGCTGGAGGGCTGGCCGCAGACCCCACACCTGAAAGACTTCTCGGTGGCCTGTTGGGCACGCTCGATGCGGCCGGAGCTCTCGCCCAGGGCGTTGGCGGGCTCCAGGATGACCACGCGGGCATGGGTCCGCAGGTGCTCGCCGAAGGCCACACTGGACAGGAAGATCTCCGCGCACTCGGGGCAGCTGTAGTACGACCCTTCCACCTGGATCTCCGGATCGTCCTCTCCTTCCTCGGGGTCCTCGATGCCCACGCCGTCAGGCTCATCGGCGTCCCCCTCCGGCTCTCCAGGGCTTTCTTCTGGGTCTTCACCCCCTGCCCCATCTGGTCCATCTGCATCCCCGCTGGGTGGCTGGGCCTCTCCATTCCGCTCGGCGGCCTCTTCCTCTGGCCCTTCGGCCTCGCCGCTGGCCTCAGCCGCTTCTGCCCCTGGCTCCGCCACCTCCATGCCTGGCTCAGCGGCATCTGCGTTTGAGCCCTGAATCTGCAGAGCTTCTTGTGGAACGAGGACATCAGCTTCTGCGTCCTGGGCGGTGGCAGCCTCCTCGGGATAAAACTGGTGGTGTCCGGTGAGGAGTGCATCGGGATCAAAGGGCTGCCCGCAGTCCTTGCATTCAATGAAAGGTACTGGTTTTCTGAAGGGCCCGGTAAGAATCGAGGCCCGGGACGGGGGGTGTCCGGACTCCAGCCACTCATCCTTCTGGCCGTGCCAGGGCCCCATGAGGTTGGAGACGTCTGCGAAGTCCCGCCCACAGTCCTGACAGGGGTCATCCGACTCCAGGGCCCCGGCTGCAGTCGCCTCATGGGTCTCCTGCCCGCCGCACTCGCCATGGGGCTGCCCTTGGGCCTCAGCCATCTGATGTGCACCGAGGCTGATGCTGAGGGCACAGCCCCACCCCAGCTCCCTAGGTTTGGGGTGCACTGGCTCCTCAGCACAGAGCTCCTGGGCATAACTTGTCCCCGGGTCAGCAGGGGAGAAGCTGTGAATGGCAGATCGCTCATAGCTTCTGCTTCCAGAGGGCTCCCCTCTACTGTGAATCTTCTGGTGTTCAGTGAGGTCAGGGCTACCAGCAAAGGGCTCTCTACACCCCTGACCTGCACAGGGCTTCTCCCTGGGGCAAGCTGTTGGCAGCTCCCCAGATGGCAGAGAATGAATTACTGAGGTCTCGTTGCTCCTGGGCTCAGTGTATTTCATTGTAGCACAAACCTGGCGTTCATGAACATTTGAGCTGAGGACGGTAAATCTGCCATTCTGCTTGAATTCACCAGCTCCCCCTCCAGCAAGACTTCTTTTAAGTTTGGCGCTGGGTGCACTCTGTATGACGGAGCCCTTGTAGCTGTTATTCTCCCCTTCACGTGGGTTCTCTCTGGAGGGAACCTTCTGCCATTTATTATTGAGGTCTGATATATACATGGCGGATTCTCCCTTCTCACCACATTCAACCTGTTCATTCCCTCTGTGACGTTTCAGGGGTGTGGGGGCAGCCAAGCCATGGACAGTGGGCCTCTTATAACCCTTTCCTTCCCAGGCGTCCCCTTCGGCGCAGACTTTCTGGCGGTTAATAACATCAGAGCTCTGAAGGGGAGACGCTGCCGTCAGCTTTGGTGTTTCGAGCCCCTCTGTGCTAGAGCGTTTCTGAGTGTCAGCAGAGGCCAGGCAGAGAATAACGGACTTCTCGTATGGCTTCCTCTCAAGGACACTTCCTGCTTTGGGGAACTTGCAGTCTTCATGGGCACCGGTGCCGATGGCGAACACCTCCTCCTCGTCTTCATCTTCGGGCGGTCTGCTGACGGTATGGCTCTTCTGGGACTCGAGGAAGAGCCCTGGGTGAATGGCAGGTTTCTCATAACCCCTGCCTGCAGAGAAGATCTTTTGAGAATGAATTTTCTGATGCTCACTGAGGTCCGGGCTCTGCACCAACACATCCCTGCCATCGTTAAAGTCCAAAAGCCTCTCCTGAGTGCAGGTTTTCTGCCACCTTCTAAGGGTCTGACCAGCAACAGAGGTTTCCTCACACACTGTACTCTTATTTTCAAATAGATTTCCTCTCATGTGTATTTCCTGATGTTCTTCCAGGGGTGAGCTGTGAGGGAAAGACTCTCCACACACCTCACATTCATAGATTTTCTCTGTGCCACACATCTTCTGAGACCCGAGGAGGGCTGGACAGGGAATAAGCGATTCCCTGCACTGGCACTCACGCTCACGCCAGCATTCGCCACCTCTGTCATGGACGGAGTTTCCTCTACCATGGGTTTTCTGGTGCTCCATCAGGGCCGAACTGTGAAGGAAGGTTTCCTTACACACCCTGCATGCGTAGAATTTGTTTTTGCCATACATCTTCTGAAGCTCACCGAAGGTAGGGCTGAACATTTCGGTTCCCTCGCTGTCCTGATCCTGGCATTCCTTGAAATACTCTCTGGCATGGATTCTCCAATGCTCAGCCAGGGCGGAGCTCTGACCGAAGATTTCCCTGCACTCTTTACACTCAAAGCACTTCCCTCCCCTCCTCTGAACCTCACTGACAGACACACTGTGAATGAAGGACTCGCCATACTCATAAAGATTCTCCCTAGTGTGCATGATCTGGTGCTCCACAAACTCTGAGATGACGCCAAAGGACCTCCCACACTCTTCGCACAGATATGGCATCTCCCCAAAATCCACGGGCTGTGCCTCCGAGACGGAGGAGCAGCTGAAGCTACCCCGGCTGCTCACACCCGTGGCTTGCCTCATCTCAGCACCACACTCAAAGGGCTCCTTCCGGGCACAGCCTCCATGATCATGACCGAGATCCTCCCCATCCGCGTCAAGATGGCGCCTCTTTCTCTCCGGGACTTTCTTTCCGGAAACGAGGTCTGAGGTGACCCTGCAGCCTCCCCCGAGCGAGTTTTCTTCAGAGCCCCTTCCCTGGATCACTGATTCAGTCTTGCTGCATGATGCGTCCTTCGAGTCATCACTGAACTCCTGAAGCTCCTCACTGGACTCCCTCACTCCTCCTGCCTCAGAGCTGCAGGACATGTCCTTGATGAGGTTTTCCATGATCATTCCACAGGAAGATTCGTCTTCACAGACACCCTGCCGTGGGGCTGACTTTATGGCTTCAGGCACAATTTGGAGACCTAGAAAGAAACCCCAAAGGTAAATACCCTTTGGCCCTGGCTATGTGCACGGAGGCAGTGGGACTTGGCGGGTAGGGGCTGAAGCACAGGCGGCTTCCATCATCCGCTCCTTGTACGTTCTGCCTGGTGCTCACCTTGGCTGGTGCTGGGATAGGCGTCTCCGTGGGCCCATGCTGAGTGGCCCTGTGTCATGTGGGAGCGGTGGCTGTCTTCGGCAAGCTGTATCCCTGGTCACAAGAACAACACAACCGCTCACACTCAGACTGGAGAATGAGAGCCATACCTGCAAACTGATCTCCACCTTCCTGAGCCACTAAACAGGAAGTAGCTAATATCCCATTCCTTAACCCATTCCCAGCTGCTTTTTAATTAATTCTCTTGACCGAACCTGGAAATCTGTTCAGAGACCCATCTGCTCAAGAAGTCACCTTCTTGTCCTGTTCTGGCCTTCACCTTCTCATAGCCACCTCTTTTTCTACGGCCTCCATGGTCTTCCTCCAACTTCTTGATGCTCTTTCCCTACCTGCTCTCCAAACACCAGAGCTCTTCGAGGGCAAGAGTCTCACAGACCTGCACAGCCAACGAGCAACTCAGGCTCGAGGTCTTCCAGGGAGCCCACAGGAGAACTCAAGATCCCATTCTAAATGTGCTTAAAAATCTCTGCCTTCATTACACTAGGAAAAGTGTCAGCTCTGTGGCAAGAGCCAGCCCTGTACACCCCACCTGTACAATGTATTCAAACAAAGCCAGACAAGTTTCTTTCAAAAACAAATCTCATCATTTACTCCTCTGCTTGTAAATTTTCTAAGGTTCCTTATTAAAGTCCAATTCTGTTAACCTGGACTAATGGTCCTGCAGCTTGAAACAAGCAAGGGCCCACATGCTTCATGACTGGTCAGAGGGGCAGCTCAGGGCAGCAGCCACTCACCCAGGGAGAGCAGCTTCCTGTAGCTCTCCATGTTGTCCTGGATTGTGTTCTGCGGCTTCCGGTCCTCATAGAGGCTCATGACGTGCTGGTAGAACTGGGTATTCTAGAAGAGCAAACAAAGACCTCTCAATGGAATCTGCCCCCATGATGTTCAGAAAGAAAACAATGCTGGCGACACAGGAGCTTGAGAGAAAGTCACATGGGAAGTGCTCACAGTGACTGGGGTCTGAGTGATCCCAAAATTACTGGGCGCCTACGTTGTACCTATGCTACACTCCGAGGCAGACCCCAGAGATACATGACACAGAGTCCTTGCCCCCACGCAGCTTACAATATGGCTGGAGGGGAAATGACTGATGAAACAACTGGAGAGCAACAAACAGTAGCAAAGGCCCAGTGGGCGTTGCAGAGAGGTGGGTTGAGCAGCCTAAACAGTGGGCAGAGGTTGGGGACAAGGTCTCAGGTGGACCCTGTGCAGGGTAGGATTGCAATACGAATGGGCAGGTTGGAAGGAGTGGCTGATGGAGAGCTCCTAGGTGCAGTCTTTCCAAACAGCACAGCTATGGCCAGGCCCAGGACCTTTATTTTAGAGCTGCCTTTTCCATCTTAACAGATATTTCTCCAAAAGAGGACTTAAAACTTCACATCACTCAGGAGAATCTGATATCTGCCAACCACAGAGGCTGTGCCAGAACTTTCCGGGTACGGTGGGCGCTGGTTCTGGGAGAACAGAACAGCACCGAGGGCTGCAGAGAGCCAGAGGGCCTGTGGCAAGACCAGCCATGGAAGGGGCGGTGTGACGGCGGGCTGAGCAACCCCTGCATTTTCTGGAGGTGAAGAAGGAGCTGTGGACCCACCAGGCCATGGGGGAGGGGTTTCTGCAGCGTGGTGAGTGTTTCCACAGGAAGACAAATTATGTAAAGAAGAGACAGGTTTTTGACATTAAGTGCATTGCAATTCTGCTAAGATGAGGTACAGATGTTGCGGCAACATGAAAAATGTTGGGTTTTCAGAGTGGGGTGCATCTCTAACATCATGGGCCTCCCTCAAGCACCTGAGGGTGCAGGCATTGAAATGCAAAGCACTCACATGAAATGAAGCTGAGGAAACGGTCTCTTTTTAGCTCACACCTGCGTTTCCTGGACTGAGAACACAGCCCATGACCACCTGCCTTTGCTGGGTCCTGGTGGTCCCTGCTGGCCGGGGGGTTTCTTGGGGCAGCAAGGCCGGGCTCACTTTATAATAAGAGGAAGCACACTGGGCACCACAGCGGCCCGTGGGGATACAGCCAGGAAGCCAGAGCTCGCAGCGGGGAGGCGGGCAGAAAGCGCAGCATGGAGACCGAGAGGGGCGGACTGGTCACGGCCCCAGGCTCAGAGCCCCAGACACAGCGGACGGTGCCATTCCCACCTTTCCCTCCATCTGTGCAGTCTAAAGTACGGGTCACTGGCCCTGTATTACACTGCTCCTGCGAGAGACCACGGGTGATCTGACCTAGACTCGGGTTCATCAGTGCCGTGGCAGTGCCCAGAAGCCATCCCCTTGGCAGCGTCCATGGCTGTGGCATCGCCTGGGGTGGGCCGCAGTCACACGCAGGGCAGAGAGACCTGGTAACTGTGCTGACCCAGCATGGCACGCTGCTCCCCGGGGCCTGCCCAGAGCATGGCGGACACCGACAGGGACCACAGGAGTGGGGGATGGCGCCTCTCCGCCTCAGAGGCCATCTCAACTGCCTTTCCCGCCACACCAGTCCAGTCAGCAGGGGCCAGCGGCCTCCACAGGTGCAGGGCATAGTTCCCAGCCCTTCACCCGAGCTAGGAAGGGCACTTGCAGCACCCAACGCCACAGAGTCCGATGACCAGGACACCAGTGACCAGGCCACTGCACCTCAGCCACCTCCGGGAGTTACTGGAGGCTCATGGCCACTGCAGGACTCTAGGGCCGATGGACACAGTGCCTGGGGACAGAAGGACATCTCTGGACAGGAAGACGGCTTTCTGAGAAGGCAGAAGCCTGCACCTACCTGAAGTTGGACCTCCCACTCCAGCTCCATGCCGTCCCTGTCGTCGTCACTGTCCAACTCAAAGTTTGTGTGTGCTGTTTCAGAAAGGGACAGATCCGGCGGGGGCGGCCCTGGGAAGGAACAGTTGTCAGGAGCGGCAGGCCCAGGCCAAGTGGCGGGGCAGGGGCAGCCCAGCGGGGTTGAGTCCACGGCTCCTCACCGCGTGCGAGGGCAGCTGCCGCACCAACCACAGTCAGGGAGGCCCGGGCCTGACCACGAGGTCAGCCTGAGGCAGCGGCTGAGGCACGAGTCCCAGCAGGACACTGCCAGCCTTGCTCTGCCCCTCAGGGGACCAGACAACCTTCTTTGGGTCCTTACTGAAGAGCTCCTGGCACCACTGTGGCATCCTCCATGTCCAGGAGGAGCAGAGGTGGCCAGTGGTAGCGCAGACACCAATAACTCTGTCCACGTGGTACTCTCCCCATGTGGAAGCCTCGGGCCTGGCCTTCCCACTCCTCCTCCAAAAGTGACAGCCCTTCCTAACTAGTTACCACAGTTAAAATTCACTCCCTGTGCATGACTACATCTTCTCTAGGGCACTTTATACGGGATTTTAATTTTTATATCAGCATGGTCTTTCACATGGAAACTTCAAGTTTTAAAATAAAAGCACCAGCGTAAGAAACATCTTGAGTAAACGACTGGCATAAAAGGTGGAAAGTGCACAGGTGTCCCTACTGAGAGGGCTGAGGAGGAGGAGGAGCCTTGGACTAAGCTCTGAGCATGGCCCAAACCAAGTGTCAGGGGCCCTGGGTGCACAGCAGATGTGTGGGGTGCAGATGCATGAGGTCCAGGTTCGTCCATGTGTGTGGGGTGCAGATGTATGAGGTCCAAGTGCGTGAGGTACAGGTGTATGCAGTGCAGGTACACAGAGCACAGGTGTGTGGGTGTGGGCCAGTACACAACTTATTCCTTCTCCTGGAATATGACCAGAAGCCTTGAGCCTCATCTCTGCTTCAGCCTCTCTGGGCCCAACAGTGGAGGAATGAAGGAAGTGTTCCCCTCACAGGCACATACCCTCCTCAGAGGGGTGGCACCCTTGCTCTCAGTGGAGAGAGATTCCCACTGTCCCCTGCAGCATGGTTCCTGGAGGCCTTGCCCAAGCAAACTTGTTTCAAGCCCCAGAGCTCTGTCCAAAGCCAGGTCCCCATCAGGCCCAAACTCAGGAAGTGGAACACACCCGTGTGTGGCTCAGGCCAGCTGATCCCCGAGGCGCATGGCATTCTACCACCACCACACAGGACCCAGGGAAACAAAACACGGGCCCTCGGGCTGGGGATTTAGCTCAGTGGTTCTGCCGCCTGCCTTGCAAGCGCAAGGACCTGAGTTCAAGCCCCGGTACCAAAAAAAAAAAAAAAACACAGGCCCTCCCCAATAGCAACACAGGCTTACGAAGGCCATTGAAGAATCTTTAAGAACCTCTCCTAGGGAGGCAGGGCACATCTTGAAGCAGACTCCTAATAGCTTTGCACACATTAGGGTTTGAAAGGCCCTGCATTTCACTCTCCATTGGTGTCTTGTTTTGATGTAAAAATGTCTCAATTAATTTTCTCTCCTCTCAAGATTTGAGAGATGCCACACACGCTGCCGGTGGGGCACCATCTCCAAAGAGGCCTCGTCCAACGAGCACCGGAAGCACCCTCCCCTGCATGGGTGGTGCCTGGGGGCTGACGTTACTCACGGCTGGAGGAGCCAGCTGACTGAGGTGACAGCGCTTCTTCTCCATTTGGGCTCCTGTCGTCGTCATCATCGTCGTCGTCGTCGTCGTCGTCGCTGCTCACGTCGCTGCTGGCATCGTCTGAGAGGTCAGCAGACACTAGCTTGATGCTTTACGGGCTCCAACAGCGGCTCCCCCGGCTCTGTTCTCCCTCCCTGGGTAGCTGAGTGATCTGATCCTCCATCCTGACCTCGAAACCCTTCAGTGACTTCCAGCTGCTCCCGCCTCACGAAGGCTGGGCGGGACATGGGCACAGCCACGTGCTTCATCCCCAACAAGAATGGCCCAAAGGGGTCAAGGAGGGGCAACCTGTAATCCCAGCACTCAGGAGGCTGATGCAGGAGGACAGCCTGGACTAAGTAACGAGACCAGTCTCAAACAAAACAAAACAGCCAAGAGATAGTTCACTTCCTGTGAGTCATGGGGTTCCCTCCCCATGAGACCCCTCCCACAAGGGAGAGTCTCCTTTCCCTTGCAGACTCAAGTGGTGTTCTCAGCCTGGGACATCTGTCCCCCATGTGTCATCTGGCCACACACAGAGAGACATCCCACAGTCCTTGGGCAGCCCCAGCCCCTGCCCCACGATGGAGAATGAGCAGCCAGATGCCCATGTTATGGCTTGTGTCTGAATGTCCCCCACAAAGCTTCACGTGGTCCCAAGTGGGGCTTTTCAGAGGTGGCTGGATTAGGGTGTGATATATTAGGATTAAAGGTGAAATGCTGGGATTAAGGTGGCCCCACCCTGGGTGTGGGTGCTGCCCATCCTAAGGATAGGTAGCCTCAATAAGATATAAGGGACAGAAAGAGGGCTACTTTGCTGCTCTGCTGTCTTCTGCCTGCTCTGCCATGGACTGTTTCTCCTCTGAGACGCCCCTCTGCCTGCCACCCCGCCTTGGAGCCGGTCAGCTATGAACCCAGACCTCCACAGACTGTGAGCCAAATAAACTTTTCCCTTTCTACCTCTAGCATTATTTTGTCTCAGCAAGGAGAAAAGCAACTAAGACAGCCCCCAACAGCGGTATGGAGGCCAGGACCCCAGGGCACTCTGCTGGCCCCAACTGTCATGACCTCCTGAGTCTCACCTTCCCGCTGGCACATCCCTGCAGTGCTCTGGCTTCTCTGCGGGCACGCGAGGCTTGAGCTGCAACCAGGTGAGGCAGCGGTCTCAGAGTCTGAGTGGGGTCTCCTGAAGCCCAACGCAGCCCACAGAGAGTGGGTTCCCAGACCCTTGAGGAAAGAATTCTGAGTCAGCTGGGGCCTGGATCTTCCCGGGTTTGGTGCGGACTCCTACACAAAGCCAACACTGTTTTCACACAACTGTCCCCGAGCAGCCAGATGGGAATCAACAGGACAGAGACAGCGGCCTTCTACAGTAAGGACTGTGGGACCCAGGGCTCATCCCGAGTTAAGGACCAGGCAGCAGCACAGGGCTGCCCAGCTGGGGGATTGGCAATGCTCAGGATGTGAAGCACTCTGAGCACAAACACAAAGGAGGCCCTGCATGGCCGGCCTCAGTTACAGCCTCAGCACAGCCTTCACTCCGTTATGAAACACAGTCTGCAGACACACAAAACGTCAGCAGCACTCGACTGTGAGAGACGGGCCGGCAGCAAACCCACTCTCTCCTCAACGAGTGGTCTCTCCACACATGCGCCGGGGCGGCACCCAGCCGCGTGGACATTTTGGTCACCATGCAGTGACACTCAGCCCTCACAATCACCAGCACATCTTAAGGCCCCAAGTAGACATGGCTGGTGGCTGCCACCCCAACAACGAGGGATGTTTCCACCACTGGGGGAGCTGTGCAGGGCCCGGGGGCCCTCTCGTCACTCCCAGAGGCAGCCCAGGTTCACAAGAGCACCACTTCCTCCTCCCCAGCCCACCACCGTCAGGCACCCCACGCGGGTCCTGTCCTCTTAAAGATTCACTTTGCGAGCCTCCCCGGGTAAAAGATGAACCCCAGTAAAGGAGTCGGGGAGACCAATCATGGTTTCCCTGCCCGGCCTTCTCTCACTCTACCCCTGTGCCCGACACTCCCATGACACACTGAGCACCACGAGGAAAGCCGCTCTGTGCTGCTGTGGGGACGGACACACAACAGATGCCGGCAGCAGCATGGCAGCTTCTGGGAAGAGGGGACCTCGCAGGGTGACCTCTTCCAACGGATGCTCTGGGGTGACAACCTGGCACCGCCTGTCTCTTCCTGGTGCTCCAACACAGGGGAAACGCTGCTGCTTGTGTGTGACGCTGTGCCTCACACCCTGGGGACACCGGACACAGAAGCCATGCGTGTGACGGGGCTCTGTCCACCTCTGCACACCTGAGACTGTCTGACAGACAGGCCTCTCTTGGTTCTTTTTTTTTCCACCACTAGAAATTCAACCCAGGGGTGTTCAGCCATGAGCAACATCACCAAACACGTTTTATCATTTGAGACACAGTTCACTAAGTTGCCCAGGTCGGCTTTAAAATTTCCTTAAACTACCTTCCTCCATTTTTATCACTGGCCAGGACAACAGGAGCAAGAAAGTCGAGCAGTGCAGGTGAGGAGCCTCACCTGGCAGTGGGAGCTCACCACACCACAGCTCCTGTGAGCCTGGAGCTTCCAGAGAACGGAACATCCGCAGCAGCACTTCTCTACCGTGGCTTTACAAAGAAAGCCAGCGTGATTAAAATAGCATGGTTTTAATTTTAAAAGGCCTTGTACCCCACAAAGATGTTTGAATAATCTGTCTCAATAAAATAAAGAGTGCAGGTCTGTAGAAAGCCGAGGTGACTGTCACTCCAGGCTCGCTGCACCTTTATGGGACACACTGTGGGGGCCTCTTGGCCTCTGCTCTCCGCAACGGGCTTTCCTGCAGGCTGACAGCCACTTTCCCACAGCGTGGCACAAGTCCACAGAAGCCTGGCTGCAGCCGACACAAGTGGGACTCGATCCTGAAGACCTCGGTGACCCGGCCATTCCCTCTGCCCTCCTTTGGGAGGACTGGGCACGGCGGACGGGAGGACAGGGAAGGGAGCAGGCCAGCATTCAGCTCCACAGGTTGGCACAGCATCTGACCGAGAGCCTGGTCACTGCGGCCACCGAGATAAGAGCAGGGAGAGGAGCAGGGGCTCTGGGCACTGTGGCAGCCAGGCACGGAGGTCACCACGTTTGCTCTCGGGAAGGAGGGAGCGGAGGCCTCTCAGGAACCTGAGACAGGAGCTTTCCATGGGAACTGAGTCAGGACACAGGCACCCGCAGCCATCTTAGGAACAAGGATGCATGGATTAAGAAGAAAGAAATGCAGAAGGAATGGCTGGGAACTGACTCCCCAGGGGCCAGGCTCACATGTCTTCCGGAAAAAGCCCTTCCCGTGCCATCTAACCAAGCCACACATGAGGAACAGAAAGGTTTCAAACTGTTTTATGAAACTAGAATAATTAAAAGACCCCAAACAGGGGCTGGGGATTTAGCTCAGTGGTTCCACCGCCTACCTTGCAAGCATAAGGACCCGGGTTTGATCCCCAGTACAGGAAAAAAAAAGACCCCAAACAAAGACTAATATACCACAGACCAAACTCACTTATGAAGGCAGAAATCAGTCTTACTGCTGCTATTATTGAGTATTATTTGACAGAGTTCTATCCAATTATAAGACAAGAAAATTCTGAAGCACAAAGAGAGAGACATAAAGCTATCATTCGCTCATGTAAGACTGCAGTATGTGCTTCTGTATTACAGGGATTTCTCTCCCCATTTAACATATATTTGATGCACAAAACACAATGGCAGGAGAAAACTGCCTATAAGAGCTATAGAATCCAAAAGTCTGATAAGAAATCAACAACTTTTAAGGAAAATATCCACAGTCAAACCTTACTCAGAAAAAAGAAGAAATTAAAATAGAGTAAAGAGATCTAAAAAGCCGAAATGATTTAAGCAGCAACTTCCTGAAGAAATTTCCTATGAAGAAAGTGTTTTCTGGGCCGGGGATTTAGCTCAGTGGTGCTGCTACCTGCCTCACAAGCTCAAGGACCTGAGTTTGATCCCCAGTACCAAAAAAAAAAAAAAAAAAAATC